AGGGATGAAGATGTTCACATCCTGGACAGAGAGGAACGATGGTTTGAGAGAGGAGTAAAGGAGGCCATCTTTGTGAAAATAAATCGTCCATCATTAAACAGGGCTGGAGGCCTCCTGGTTCAACTGTCCCCCTCTTACAATGCTGTGATTGCTAGTATCACTCAGCCTCCTGTGAATAGTAAACAGCCATCAGTGTGCTAATGATCCATTGTTAGGCTGATGGTCCTCCTTGAGCATGTGATCAGCTGGTTTTGGTTGTCAGCAGCAAAACTGGTTGATCCACTCTGAGAAGGTGCTATTTAAGAAACTGAGCTGAATACAGCTCCTCAGACTGAGGAAGTCTCTCGGATGAGAGACGAAACGTTTCTACATTTTTTATTTTTATTTTTTTTGAATGTCCAGAGGACCAGATTTAACTTTTTTAGATCGTGTCAAGAGCTTTAACAAGTGAAACGTGTTGCCTGTGGCAGATCCAATCTCCGTGAAACAACGTCGACACACAGCTTTGGATTTGTTCACTTGTCTTTTAACTAGAAAGCCATAATGTTCCCAAACAGGAGACTGTAACAAGATGGCTTTTTCGTTGCCTGCTAGTCTGCTAATGCTACATGTGCTGCAAGATAATAGCGCAGTGCTGGAACACACTTAGAAACTTTAGTTCTGGGGTGCACAATCTCTTGTTAATAAAATTTAATGAGTGAAAAAAATAATCTAAACGTACACATGTAGACTGAATCGAACATGCTGTATAAAAATGGTGCAGTACACCCACGTGTACTACTTACTTCTTGTACTACTATTTCTACTTCACGGTTTTTCACTTATTGCAGGTCTTCGGGGTATGGAACCCTCGCAATAATTGAGGGACTTCTGTACTACATATTTTATGTCCCTGAGACACCACTTGTCCTCAGCTTCCTAGTCTAAGGAAACCATAAACTAACATAATCCACCTTAAAGGCAGGGGTGGTGGCATTACCCTAAACTCCTGGGACACCATTTTCTCTGACAACATACATGGACTAGACCTCAGCAGTCATTTAACTTAATATTAGGAGATCATATAACTTATTTTCCTGTTTTAAATGCCAGTGCTACTTCCTGTTTGGACTCATTACAACTGATAATGGTGTAGGTTTCCACAGGGCTTTTAAAAGATTTAAAATTCTTGAAATGGATTTTGACAAATTTGAGACCTTAAATGCCATTAAAAAGCATTACATTTGAATTTTAGTAACATTAAATATTTTTAACTATTTTACATTTTAATTACATTTTCATTAATGTTTCTGGCCCGTCAGTGCACAGCTGTCAGAAGATCACGCGTTGGATGAAAAACATGAAAACGTCAGGAGCTAGGACAAAATAGTTAAATGCAAATTCAATCTAATGTGGCCCAAAAGTTGAGGAACTTAGAGCATGGCTTCAGCCAGTCGTTGGTCAGGATTTTGCAGTGTTTGTTTTAAAAAAGAAAAGCTTAAACTTTGGCTGGAAGGACCAACCCCTGATGCATCTCATACAATGTGAGGTAGTAACAGACCTGAAACAGTTGATGTGAAACTTTAAGGCGGCTTTGCAGCTCAATGAAGTGATGATTTGTACTTGGTAAAAAAAGAGTTGAGAGAATTGCTAAACTGAGTTATTTCGTGTTTTGAACATGGGGAAAATATCTGTCACACATTTACCGGTAATGTGTTGCTCTCTATGTTAACTCTGATGCGTTCTGCTCCACTCCTCGTTTTGGTTCTGCGATACTTGCTTTGATAAGTTAGAAAGAAAAGGAAAAGTTTGCAAACCACTTAATCTTAATTTTTTTCTGTAAAACAAAACCAAAAAGTGTAATAGTTTATGTATTCCCTGTCAATGGCATATTTTTTATTACATTGAAATTGTTAAATTTTAATAGTGATTTCTGCGGAAGCTCTGTGGTGTTAGGATGAACACAGAGATCTTGTGACATGTGTTCAGAGTGCTTAGATTACAGGTTTTACAAGTCTGAGTTAAATGTCTATGTTGACAATAAATCAAGTTTGTAAAGCTAATGCAACACTTTGGACGTCCTTCAGTCTGATGTTCTGGACGGACTGGGGAGACCGAGCAGCTGGTGTTTATAGGAGCTACATGGACGGAACAAATGTGTCCTGCATCATCTCAGAAGGTGTCCGTTGGCCCAACGGTATCACAACTGATGACCACTGGCTGTACTGGACCGAAGCTTTCAGTGACCGCATCGAGAAAGCTGACTTCACAGGGGGCCAGAGGAGAGTTCTCGTTGAGGGTCTGCCCCATCCCTACGCCATCGCTGTCTTCAAGGTAGGATGGCAAAGTTGTGTTTTTTTAAGTATTCTGATAATTTGTTTTAACCGTTTTTAAAGCAAACATCTTGAATAGGTTTAAACAGTTACACACTTGACTGGAATATTAATTGCAGAATGACTTGTACTGGGATGACTGGTCAAAAATGGGAATTTTCAAAGCTTCAAAGGCTGGATCTCAATCTCAAAGCAACGAGCTGATTGTTGGCAGACTAACTGGGGTCATGGACCTGAAGATCTTCTACAAGGGGAGGAACAGAGGTGAGGAGAATTATTCATTCTTGGACACAGATGTGTGTCCAAGTTACCTGCCGTGATTGATTGACTCATCTTTGGCCTTTGTCTTTTTCCCACCAGGACATAACGCCTGTGCTGACCAGCCATGCCGCCTGCTATGCCTTCCTCAGCCTAACCACAGGTATACCTGTGTTTGTCCAGATGGTATCCCAATGATAACCATGCCTGATGGAGAGCTGACATGCCAGTGTCCCTCTGGCTACCAGCTTCAAAACAAAACGTGTATCAAGAACGGTGAGACTGCAGAATGAACCCCCGCTGCTCTAAGCCTGTGATCTATGACTGTTACAGACACGACAGAGAGATTAATTAGCAGTTTGCACGTGATTCTTTTGTTTCTCTTGACAGATTACAGCTGTTTGCTCAACCAGTACCGCTGCTCCAACGGTCGTTGCATCAGTAGCATCTGGAAGTGCGACAGCGACAACGACTGTGGAGACATGAGTGATGAACAGGAGTGTCGTGAGTATTCTACCGTAGACCTCATCTCTCAGTGGACTGAACACAAATCAGCTGTCAGTACAAAAAGGTGCACGGGTCTTTGTTCCCTTCTCTTCTGTTTACAGCCACCACTACTTGTGACCCATCCAACCAGTTTCGCTGTGTGGCCTCTGGCTCCTGCATCCCACTGGCCTTTAAATGTGACAATGAAGATGACTGTGGAGACAACAGTGATGAGGATCACTGTGGTAAGAAGTGCTACTTGGTCTTTGATCGTCAGTCCTCCCAGCATCTAAATGTTGAAGTTTCTAACTGATGGTCTTACAAGTCTTTTATTCTAGCACTTTACAAAAAGAGACATGGGTAAGGATTTATGAATGTTATAAGAGCTAATATAAACCATGCATTTACTGTGGTGTTTGAAGGTTTGTGAAGCCTTCAGATTGTTCTGTATTTCTGCATAAATATGACCTAAAACAAGATCAGATTTTCACAAAAATCCTAAAAGTAAATAAAGAGAACCCAGTTAAACAAAAGAGACAAAATATTATACTTGGTCATTTATTTATTGAGGAAAATGAGTTGACCTGAAGGTGAAATTAGAGCCAGGTGTTTTCAGTCAGTGGGATGATGATCAGGTGTGAGGGCTCACCCTGTTTGATTTAAAGAACAGGATCTATGAAAGTGATCTTCACAGCATGTTTGTGGAAGTGGATCATGGCAGGAACAAAGGAGGTTTCTGAGGAGCTCAGAAAAAGAGTTGTTGATGCTCATCAGGCTGGAAAATATTACCAAACATCTGTAAAGAGTTTGGACTCCATCAATCCACAGTCAGACAGATTGTGGACAAATGGAGGAAATTCAAGAGCATTGTTACTCTCCTCGGGAGTGGTGGACCAACAACTCCAAGAACAAGGTGTGGAATAGTCAGCGAGGTCACAAAGGACCCCAGGGTAACGTCTAACAACTGAAGGTCTCTCTCACATTAATGTTGGTGTTCATGAGTCCACCATCAGGAGAACACTGGACAACAATGGTGTCATGCCAGGGTTGAAGGAGGAAGACACTGCTCTCCAAAAAGAACATGGCTGCTCGTCTGCAATTTCATAAAGATCACGTGGACGAGCCAGAAGACTACTGGAAGAATGTTTTGTGGACGAATGAGACCAAAATAGAACATTATTGGTTTAAATGAAAAGAGTTGTGTTTGGAGAAAGGAAAACTCTGCATTCCTGCAGAAGAACCTTATCCCATCTGTGAAACATGGTGGTGGTAGTATCATGGTTTGGGCTTGTTTTGCTGCATCTGGGCCAGGCCGTCTTGCCATCATTGACGGAACAATGAATTCTGAATTATAGAATTTTAAAGGAAAATGTCAGAACATCTGTCCGTGAACTGAATCTCAAGAGAATGTGGGTCATGCAGCAAGACAGTGACCCTGAACACACAAGTGGTTCTACCAAAGAATGGTTCAAGAAGAATAAAGTTCCTGTTTTGGAATGGCCAAGTCAAAGTTATGTTTCTTCATTTGTGCCAGTAGTTTTATTAGAAGCATTATACCTGTGTGTACTGATGCCTCTGTTCCATATTTTATTTGTATTTAAATTTGTACATATTTAATTATTTATTTGTTCAAAAAAGTTAAATCTGGTCCTCTGGACATTCAAAAAACAAAACAAAGCAAAAAAAAAAAAGTAGAAACGTTTCATCTGAAAGACTTCTTCAGTCTGAGGAGCTGTATTCAGCTCAGTCTTATAAATAGCACCTTCTATTTTGGATTTTTCTGCCTGGATTATTGAGCGTGCGTTAAGATATGTATTTATTTATTAACCTTTATTTAACCAGGCAACTCCCATTGAGATCACAGATCTCATTTGCAAAGGAGGCCTGGGCCTGTAGGCAGACTAACATGCATGTTTTTGGTCTGTCAGAGGAAACCAGAGTACCTGGAGAAAACCCACACAAGCACGAGAAGAACATACAAACTCCACACAGAAGGACCCCAGGTCCAACCGGGAAGTGAACCACGGAGTTTCTTGCTGTGAGGCAACAGTTATAACCACTGATCCATCGTGCTGCCATATACCACCTTAAACCTAAACTAAACTTTTCTTTTAAGTTTCATGGTCCTTAAGTAGCCCAAGAACCGTAAGAGTGACAAGCAGTACTTGAGCTATGGCTAACATGTAAACTAACTTAATTTCTGATGTTCATCCACACATCAGTTCATTATCTGCTGCTTGTTCTTAACTCGGGTCGCAGGGGCAGCATCTTGAGCAGGGAAACCCAGACCTCTCTTTCCACAGCCACATCTTCCAGCTGTTCCCGGAAGATTTCAAGTTGTTTCCAGGCCAGCCAAGAGACATCTTTCCTGGGTTTTTCCTGGAGTCTTCTCCCAGTTTGCCTAAAATACCTCCTTAAGGAGGTGTCCAGAAGCTTTTTTTTTTTTTTACCACATTTTTACCCTGAAGAATAAAACTCACTTTGACCACTTCTATTCATGATCTTGTTCTTCCGATCGCTACCCAGAGTTTGTGACCATAGGTGAGGGTAGGAGCGTAGAGCGACCGGTAAAGAAAAAGCTAGCAGGTCAGCTCCCTCTTCACCACAACAGACCAGCTCAGAATACGAGAACTCTTCCCCTACAATAAGGTGGCAAAATAAAATGTAGTTATTATTCTTTGTTTGTGCTTATCCTTGTTTATTTTGTCATGTAAGTAATTCCAACAGAAACTCCTATCATAACACTGCGTTAATAATAAAACTGAAACTGTGTTTTCTGTTGTGCTGACATAAAATATCTACACTAACTGCAGAAATTAACTGTGTAGCAATATGGGGCTTAAATATATTGTTAATTATCAGTTATGAGTTAAGCTCATAAGATATGCATGTATTATGCAAATAACCTTGTTGTTTGGGCACCACCTCTCTCTTGGAGAGGAAAAATCCGTCTCTATTTACCCCAAAATAATGTAAAGTGAACATGTGTTCATTTCTCGTGTTTAAAGAATATCTAATCAAATTAATACACACAGATATGCCAAAATAATCACAAATTCAGTTGAATTTTATGTTTTTTTTATTATAAAAATAATAATTTTTCATTAATTCAATCTTTATTTAGACAGATAAGTCACATATGTGATATATATGAAAATTATGCATGACAAAAATTAACTGAATATTAAAGTAATGTAGAATCAAAGGTCTAATTGATGAGGAAATTAGTGAAACTTAAAAGGCAGGCTTAGGACTGGTTTATGTTTGTAAAGTGGTTAAATATTTGTAAGTTGAGCTAATATCCTGATGCATGCTCAATAATCCAGGTAGAAAAATCAAAAAAAGTTAAATCTGGTCCTCTGGACATTCAAAAAAACAAAACAAAGCAAATCAACAAAAAATGTAGAAACGTTTTGTCTCTCATCCGAGAGACTTCCTCAGTCTGAGGAGCTTTATTCAGCTCAGTCTCTTAAATAGCACCGTCTCAGAGTGGATCAACCAGTTTGCTGC